TATTTGACAGAAGTAAAATTTATTTGCTTCCAGAATATATTTGGTAAATAAAACTTATTGAATAGTTGAGCAAAATAAGCGATTTTGTAATAGTTACAAAATTTTTGATAGGTTCAACCAACTATCTGTAATAATAGATATTGAAACGATGTAATAGCTGCAAATGAATGAATTTTTCGTTGTGCTGCAACAAAACATACTTATACTGGTAACAAAATAGAACTCGTACCTACTGAATTTTTTATTACATAGGATATAACAATTTTATAACAATTATCAAATATCTGCTCATAACTGTAATATATTTTATATTAAATATTTAACATTAAGTAACTATTACTGAATTATTTAATTGATGTTACTGTGAATGCAATTACGTCATACTTCCGATCTATTAAATATTTGGTAATTATTATCATATTTAGTATTAGTTACTAAGGATTCAATGAATTTCTGTAACTAAATGCAGTTTGTTATAGTTACCAGTCTTTTCTCTCAGTATAAAGGCTAAATCACACTAACGATTGGCGATTGACGATTGACAATTAAAGATTAGATTTTAACGAATCAACAAGCTTCAGCCTTGGCTTGCTTTGTTCCAATTGGTCAAGTTCCAATCTTCAATCGTCAATCATCTATCACTAATCGTTAGTGTGATTTGGCCTTAACGCGAAATCTAGATAGCTCAGTGGTAAGAACGATTGCCTGACAAGCGGAAGACTCGAGTTCGATTCCAACCGTCGCTGATTATTAAAAATAGACCTGTATAGATACGAGAGAGGTAGCCCCCTTCCCGGCCATGGTCTGATCTTTCTTTTCCATACTATATAGTTGTGATATTAACAATTGTACAAATAATAAAAATTATTAGGAATCGATACTGGCCCAGTACTGGGAATTAGGTACTTCCCCAGTGCTAGGAATCAATACTTTTTTTATACTGGTACAGTACTGATTTTTGGTACAGTGACAATACTGTTTTCCGATACTTTTTTATCACCCCAGTATCATACCAATACTAAACTCGTACTGGCATCTGGTATTATGCCAGTAATGTTTACCATAAATCGGTACTGGGCCACTTTGATGCCAGTAGTAAATTCCTACTTAGGGTATTTCACAATTTGTACAAGCAAAAAAACCGATCGTTCATTTCATCGAATGATCGATAGAGACTAAGAGGAGGAGGATGAGGAGTTGGGAAGCGGGACGAGAGGAGAATAGAGATTATTATGTCAATTAGAGGGTCGACAGTGACATTTATTCCTCTGTGTACTCCGTGATAAGTGAAGGGAGCTCTCTCTGCTACTGGTTAGAGATATCTCGCTGACGATGCGTGGCACGTATGAATGTGTGTGTGTGCAGTTGCAGGGTGTCTCGTTTCAACCGCATCATTCTTTCTTTTAGAATCTGTCGCGACTCCATTTGTCCTCGAAGAGAAGCGACATATTTCTCGAATAATTAAGCAATAAAAAATAAAGGATTTTTGACGGATTGACGAGTTTCAAAGAGGAAAGTACAGGTTAAAATTCTTCGTTAATTTCGTACATTTGAACGGGTTTCCAATTTAATCAATTGTATGGTTATATATATCGCTCAGAGTTGAAGTTACTCACGAATGATCAGCTATTGCGATATTTTCACGGAGAAAACTTTATGGGATCTTTTCTCCATGACGAGACCTTCGACAATCCGGGATCAAAGTTTCGAATTCTTAGTTATCATAGAATCTTGACTCCGAATTATCGAAGATTTCGTCATTTTAAGAAGTGATGCGGTGGAAGTGGGACGTTCTGTGTATACACAGCGACGGTTACATATGAGGCGCGGACAGTGGCCTTCTGGAAAGTTCCTTTCCCAAATCACTTTGAACTCGCGGTATGCGGGGAATTAACGTTCGCTCTTTCTTTTTTTTTTCGTGAATATAAATTAATGGCGCAGCGCCCAATTGTGGTCAATAAGAATCGCTCGAAAAAGTCTACAGTACGCTGAGCGAAGTCAGATATACAGTTGAGGGAGAGGAGAGAATGTGCAACATTTTTACCTCGGATAAACGTCAGAACGCGTTCGATTTCCGATAGAAAAATTTTTCTTCCGAATATTATTTACAACATATTCTTTCAACGGATGCGGTTGCTCACTAAACAAGAAGAGAAATGTTGTACGTTGAATTGAATACTGAAGATAATCACGGTCTAGGAAAATATCCGCTCACCTTTTGTCCCCATTGTGTTCCACCTGAAACCTTGTTCCACCGAATTTTTGTGCCTCGCTTAAATGCGATACCTAAATTTTCGCATTTTCCCAAGACGTCGCGACGAATATCGTTCCCTAAACGTTGATCGTTGTATGTCTATGAAAATTTCGGAAGAAAAATGCACTGATCCTTATTTATTTGATATCGTAAACACGTTGAAAATACTGTGATGATCACTGGTGATCTGCACTTAATTGCGCTTAAAAATTGGATGCACTGGAAGCCAATCGAAGGTGGGAACTAAATTTATCAGATATTAATAAATCTCAATTGAATTCATCGGATTAAGATTCATTGGACATTTATCAGAAATCTGATAAATGAATGCAATTTAACTCGGCAGAAAAATGATGGACGCGGAAACAGTGATGCGTTATTTGCTATACGTAATACAATGATGCCTTTTATTCGGACTGAGCGTGATACTTAAGGCCTTCACACACACTTTCCGTAACAGTAACCGTAAAACGTAACGTAAGAATTGATCAATTACGATGGAGTATTCACAAAAATGGCGACCTTATGTTTCGACGATTCTCAACGTGATTGGTAAATTCTTACGTTACGTCTTACGGTTACTGTTACGGAAAGTGTGTGTGAAGGCTTTTACTGAGGACCGCGTTATCTTTTGCGATAGGAACGGTTTGGGATCATGGTCGGCCCACTAAGCGTTCGAATTACCGGAAAATTACTAAACAAACATGACCGTAAAGAATGAAGAAAGCAGATAAATTATATATCGATTTATTTGTTCCGAAGATTAGATTTATTATTTAATTGATAATTCGACGAAATTAGCGTGTGTATATGTGTGTTTTAAAGAGCATGTATGAATGATAACAGGACGTTTTGCAGGAAAGATTATGTGAGTGTCCGACTTTTCGCAAATCCGTTATAAACGGTGATAGAAAAAATGCGAACATCAGCGGGAGATAAATGCGCGCGCGTTTTATTCCCGTGATAGATACAAAAGCCGAGAACTGTTTACGTGTTGCTCTGAATGTGAACGTATACTAATTGCGCTGTTTTTTGCTTCGTTTCCTCATCGGCGTCTCCTCAATGCGAATCAGAAATCAGCATCATCGCGTGTGTTCCACGAATTGCGCGGTCTCTACGCTAATTATGCAATTTTCTGGCGAATTGCATGGCGATTTGTTATTTCCTTTTATACTGGAGATTAATTACCGGGAGGAAACACGATATCCACCCTTTTGCTTGTATGAATATTCCGCGCACGCTGAAATAAAAAATACTTGAAAATTCATTCGTGAGATATAAAGTTTATTCACAGAAATAAACTCTATTTCCCAGAAGTGAACTTTATCTCACAGAAATAAGCTTTAACCTCGCAAATAAATTTCCCACTATTTTCTCTCAGTGTGAGAAAAATTTTATTTCGACTCGGGATAATTAAAATTGACTCTTAACTCCTTCCTGCGCAATGGTTGTATTAAGAACTTGTAAAACAAAACGCAAAGAGACAGAGATTCGAAGTATTACCACGCAACACGGCGAGTCGGTGCTATCAAATGTCAGAGAATGAGATCGACCGAAAAAGCCGAAATGGCGCAATCTTGCGCCCGGGAATTTTATTATGTTGCACGTGATGTCGATGATAGAGTGTATCGTTATCGACGAGCAAGATAACAGTCGTCCAAAGCGTCCAGCATACTGCAGGTGGTGTATCACGACACTACCGGCTTTAGTATCGCGCGAACCGTGGAGGTAGGTTGAAAAAGTCGGATCGAAGGGATCATGTGAAAGATGTGCAGATGACGACACTCTTCAGGATTGATCTTGACGAAGCGGTGAACAGGATCGACTACGTTCGACCATTCTCGCTGGCGATCGTAATGTTCGATCACTCGGAACAGTGCTTGGTGAAAAAAAAAGAGACACAATAGGACAGATAAGACGGCGAGGGAGATAATAAAAGAGGAGCCGGCTACCGTGAAAGACTGTTGGAGGAGGGGAGAGTTTAAAGAAGTTGAGGTGAAGGCAGGTGAGAGTGAATAGTGAGGTGCACCGAGAGACTAAGCGCCACGACGTGAGTATCGAAAAAGCATCGGGGCTTTCGTAGGAGGAGAGGGGTGGAAAAGACGGCGTGGAAAGCGGCGAAGAGGCAGGTGCGAGGAAGGTGCAGAGGAAGGTGCGAGACGGTGAGAGGAATCGCGCGACGGGAGAGGCTTATTTATCGGGGGATTAGAATTGTTAATGGACGTAGGGCACGTGGAACGAGCGTGAAGAGGGGCGGTGGGTAAAGGAAACAAGAGACGGAGACGAATAAACAAACAGACGAGGAGATGGACGATCGCGTACTCCGCTTGTAAAGTGAAATTATAGTTACGTCTCACTTGTCCGCATGATTCTCACGTGTAATTCCCGAAGGTCGCGCGACACTCGGAATAGACTTGACTGAGGCAAGTTTTTAATGAGAGACGAAGTAAAAGAAAAGAGAAGAGACAAAATTGATAGTAGGGGGAACTCTTCTTCTTCACTCCTCGCTTTTCTCGCACAGAAGACGAGAGAACGACTCCGGAGGAGAGTGGCAGAGGGTCCGGCGCGAAATCGTGGTGATAAAAGAGCGCGAGGTATTCGGCAACCGTGTGACACGTGGAAACCGGTCGCGAAGGGAGTGGAAACGAAACATGAAAAATCGCCGCGGGCCAGTTCGAATAATTAGGACGACGAGTCTTTTTTAACGATCCGCTAAAGTCCGCGGCGAGAACGAAGAGCCCGGACGATGAACGCGCGCCTGCAGGAAACAAGGGAAGAAGAGGGAGGTGACAGGGAGGTGAAAGCTCGAGCAGAAGGAGGCGGTGAAGAGGGAGGAGGTATCATCCTCGGACGTCAGCAGCAGGGTCGTTGCACCAATTCGCACAATTGGATCGGCGAGGCGTCGGGTTACGCGGATTTCGAGGAGCAACGTCACACGACGGCGCGGCCCGTCTCCTCGCGACAGCAGATCGATTTGTCTGATTCGCCCAAGTTAGCCTCCCCGTTGCCGCTTTACGATCCCGCGGCCGTGATGCGGCCCGGCCACGTGAACATCTCGGCTGACGCCGCACCCTCTTCCAGCGTTACGTCACACTCCGCTCGCGATAATGCCAGAGCGCGGGCTCGCGATATCGAGACGTCTCGTTGGACCCCGACGAGACTCCCGTACAGCCCGTCGTTCCCGGCTAGTTGCAACGTAACTCGTAATATCGCACCAGCGTCGTGCAACAACGTCGCCCTGGTCATGGAGCAAGCGTTGTTTCGCGACGACGGCCAACCGTCGGTCGGTCCGCAGTTGGAGACCTGCGCGACATCGAGCGCATCGCCCTGGAGGAACTGTCCCCAACTGCTGATGGGGCCTGTGGACGTAGAGGATCTCGCGATGTACTTCGACTCGGCGGACAACAGCAAGCCGCCGCCACCCCCGACTGGTAATAGCGGCCGTGCGATTTACTCGAGGAAGCCGAGATATGGCCAAGGCGCACCGAGGATGGACAGTCAGTCGCGACAGGATCGCCGCGAGCGACTCGATGTGAGCTCGGGAAGCGATCTGTTGGATCCTTATTATCCGCGATCTCGTTATTTAGACCCTGGCGACTTGGGCTTTGCTGATCTGCCACGAGCTTGTCAGGTAGCAGCGAACGATTTGGAGAACGCTACGCCGCGAACTCTTGAATCGAACGACCTGCCGACTTGCGGAGTGCTGTGCCCCGGTGGGTTGGTCGAGCCACTGCGACTTTGCGCGCCCCATCCGGGCTTTTATGATCAACGGGCAACGTGCGACCTGAGACTCGGTGACCCGCGATCCTGCGCCGCGGCGGCCCGCGAGCTGAACATTCGCGAACTGGGGCGAGATAATCTAGGACACGATGATCCGGCTCCGGGCGATTGGTTCTGCAACAACTGTCCGGAACTGTTCAATTTCTGCAGCGAGGAACGCTGGCTGCAATGCCCGGCGAGCGATCGCTGTCCCCTTTACGACACCTCGTACGATCACGGCGCGCCGCTCTTGCCGCCGTGCATGCACGAGAACTTTCATACGGACTGTAACAATAACGATAATTGGTACTACGGGTACGCGGAGGACGAGCAGCTTCTCGAGGATTATCTGTAAGTCTACGTGCCCTGAGAGGAAAAACGAAATGGCTCATCTTAATTAAAATTATAATTATTTTTCGCCCAACCAAAGTTTTTAGTTGTTCCGACACAAAAATGATAGTGGTTGTATACGTGTGAGATTATTATCATCGACATTATAGTAGAATTTAATAAAAATATCGTTTTCTTGAACATAATTTATTATAATAACTAGCTCACACTACCCAGCGTTGCCCGAACTTCTTACATCTAAACTTAAATTACCACAAAGTATTAAAAAAACGAAATCAGAGAAAGGGATGTTCAGATTTCACGTAGCCTGCATTTTCCGTAGCGTTGCAGAGAGTAACTATACAAAATTTGGTCCGGATGGATCAAAGAGTTTATGAGTTAATAGGAAAGTTCATACAGACATTTTACTTTATACATGTATAGATATCTCTATATATATATATATAATATATACATGTGACGGTTACAAATACCAAACTTTTTTGTCAGTGTGGATCATGTCCTACCACTTGTCGTATTCGCGCAATTTTTTTCTATTTTATGTCTTTGTCTTTTCACTTCTATGATAACTTACACTAACTATCCTCTGGCAGAATTACCCCCTACTCCTTTCCCTCAAGGTACTCGTCGTTTGTGTCGGACATTCCGTGGGATTATCCGTCGATCGGTTTGGCTTTTACTGATTTGACGCGATAGCGATGGAAGGAGGGTAAAGGAGGGAAAACGCGATCAGATCGATTTAGAAACCGTTCAAAGGTCGATTCGACCGATAACGGCTTATTCGCGATAACGTTAACGTTTTCCGTCGTCGAAGACGACCGAAAAAAGATGCATCTTCTGAGTCGAGTCACCGGTTGCATTCAGCAACGATAGAGTACTGTCGTTGAATGGCGAACGAATGCACCTTCGGTTGTTTTGCGTTTCAAGAATTAGCGATGCTTTAATGTTTTAATTGCGAAAAGTACGATTCTTCAAGCGGAACAAGTCTGATGAAATTGAATCCAAGATTTGTGCAATGAATTCTATAGGTCTTGCATATGAGTTTTAATCTCTCTTTCTCCCTCTCTTTCTTACATTCACTCACTCACTCACTTACTTACTCCCCTACTCACTTATACATTCACTCACTTTCACGTTTCAGAAATTACCCATTCACTCACTCACTTACCTATTTACCTACTCAGTTATGCATTCACTCATTCACTTTCACATTTCAGAAATTACCCTTAATTATGCGTGCATTCGTCACAATTCGAGCAATGTTGCATTTTCAAATCGAGTTGCTGTTGAATTACACACACTATTGTTGCGCGATTAGTACGTCCTTGTGTAATTGGCGGCGTAATATTGAACCAGGTTAGCAACGACGACCTTCAACAAACAGGGACTGTTTGTCGTAGTGAGATAGTGCATCAGACGTGACACTTGTCGCTTACGAGATATTTCAGGGCGTTTATTTGCGAAAAGAAGTGTAAGAGGTAGATAGCCGGAGGTTGGAAGTTCTCTCGTCCACAGGTGTGAATCAGTCGACGAGAAAAGTAGATGGGCTCTCTAAAGAGGGATATCTATATGCTTAACATGTGTACGCGAAATCATTTCTCGCAAAGAAAGACTCCGTAAAATGGAATGCGCGAGCTCATTCCGTTTTATTTTACCAACGCTGAACGTGCTTGAGGCTTGACGAGACTCCTCTTATTGCTACAGGAGTAACGAGAAACGGAAGGAGAGGTCTCGCGATGCAGCGCGCTGCAGACGTAGCAGAGAGACCGACATCTTCACGGATCTGGCGGCCGTTCTTCCAATCGCACCGAAACAGGCGGCGAATCTGGATAAGGCCAGCGTCATGAGATTGGCGATTGCCTACCTCAAAGTCCGGGCCGTTGTAGATTCCAGTGAGTTCCTTAGACTCTCTTCAACTTTTTTCGACTTCTTAGATTCTTTCTTTCACTTATTTTCAATATAATCTGCGCGTTACTTTTTACAATATATGAAATAATTTTTATGCAAATGTAACTGATATATTTTGTTGCAGTTTTATTAAAATTGTTTGAATTTTTATGATTATCTAACGAAGAGAAATATATATTGTCTTACCTTCAACAATTTAAAAACGACTTAGAATCAGATACTGCTAGATATCGTTGAGTGTAATTTTTTTTTCCTTTATTTTAATCTCTACAGTTTTACAGACAATTTAGATAAGAGAAAGAAAGACCACAGTAACTTTACGATACTAAGAAAAATTTTCCCCGCGATTCTCTTATCGCCATACGCTCGCTTCAAAGTATTTATCAAATTAAATTATCGTATGAAGTATAAGAAGTGTCTTAACTGTATGGCGCCATTCTTTTTTAAAAATCAAATTGAAGTTATTATTAATTGCCACTTATAATAAATGAGAATTAGATATTTAGTTTAATACAATGCTGTCGCGATGGCTAAACTGTGCGACTTTTAACGGAAGTTCCAGCTTCGGTGTTCGGCTTCAAGTCCGAATCGTCCACGGAGATGGACGAACTGTTTCCGAAAGCCCTCAACGGTTTCATGCTAGTACTATCCAGTGACGGCAATATGGTCTACTTGTCGGAGAACGTCAGCGATTATCTCGGAGTGTCACAAGTACGTCTAACTGAATCATTATTGTACCATTATTGTATTATTATTGTCAGACAAAGACTAGACTGTGATAAAGTTTAATTACATCTTTAATTGCTTCTAATATATCTTATCTTTTGAAACAATGATTTCACATCTGTAATTTTTTTTTTTTTATAAAAATTACGCGCTCATGCATCTCCAAGATAAGCTCGTATAAAATACCCTAACATGTGGAAAAAAGTTTGCAAAATGTTTAAATTAAATGTACGTACACCAGTTTTGTCATTATGAATACAATTGGATATTTATAGTAAAAAGCTCTGTTGTATTCTTTTTACGCGGGTTCAATAATAAAATTAAACGAACTGTGGTATAAAATGAAACGACAAGTTTTCATATTTGCGTTTGTGTGCTTGCAGATTGACATGATGGGTCAAAGTGTCTACGAATACAGTCATCCCTGCGACCATGATGAGTTGCGCGAGTGCCTCTCTTCAAAGTTGTCGGAGAATAACGAGAAACGTGTCTGCAGCTTTTTTCTGCGGCTTAAGTGCACCCTTACGAACAAGGGCAGGAAGGTCAACTTGAAGAGCGCGTCTTACAAGGTGTGTATAAACATTTATAATTACATTAACAATTGCAAATACTATCCTTTGCGGCATGACGCTCCACGAGAGTTAATTTGTATAAAACCACATCTAAAGTGTGTGGTCCACATTTGAAATGTTCACACAGGTGATACACTGTACCGGGAGATTGACCAGTATTCGTGACTCCAACTCGAACTCCACGGAGATCGATAACGAGGAGCAAGGAAAGAAGGACGAATCTATGGAACACGACACAAACACTTCTTTGGTGCTCGTGGGTAGTCCTATACCTCACCCCAGTAATATCGAGATACCCCTGGGACGCCATACCTTTCTGTCAAAGCACAGTCTCAGCATGAAGTTTACTTACGCCGATGAAAAGTAAGTGGAACCGTAACGCTTTTATCCATCGCATCTTGTGTTTCTTTTTTTTTCTTTTCCTTTCTCTCCGATTAATAACGTTCTGACGTCGTGACTATGGGTCGGTTGTTCCAACTTTTTGATTAGTAAACTGATGAATAATTATATCTGATATATATCTGTCTTTGTTTTTCCTTCAACTTAGACAAAGATATACATATAACTATCAGTTAACTTACCAAGAAGTTGGAGCAACTATGTGCTAGATTTCTTTGTCCTCGGCAATTCGATTATCGATTATTTTCTTGCAATGTCAAACGTCGCTCAATTCTCTTTTGTCACGGATCAATGCAAAAATTTAATTTTTCAGTTGGATCGCGATCATAAATTGATTATCCATGCGGCATAATATTAGCGCCTAAGATTTAGCAAGATTGATTAAACATCTTATCAGTCTTATCGTTATTTTGCGATAAATAATCCGCGCATTATCGTACACGTGACTCGAGAACAATTTTCCTCCGACGTATCGCATTTTAAATACACGTGGCGTATTTTGTAAACAACCAAAATAGATGCTTATTGTTGAAAGTTTCGCGTATTATGTGTATGCCGTAACAACGAAAATACTTTGCTGTTGTCGCGATCAGATTGGTCGAATACCTGGGCTGGAACACCGAGGAGCTGATGGGACGATCAGTCTTCGAGTTCTATCATGCGCTTGATAATCTGGCGTTGGACAAGTGTTTCAAATGTCGTAAGTAGTTGATTTTATATTTATGAATCGCACATTCAGTAACTCCCTCTTATTCCCTCCACGACACACCTCTGTGGGATCCTTGAAAATATCACTTTTCATATATCGCAAAAATTGCGTGTTCCGAAGTAATGACGGCAATAGTCGGTGATGATCCTTGAACGATTTTGGGCGGAAGAAACGCTATTTGCACTGTCGTTTTTTATAGCGCGATCTTTTCCGAGATATCATACAATGTGCGCGTAACACGGAAGCAGGTTGTAGACGATTGGTCGCGGTGGTAGCTGTCAAAGCGAAATGGTATGAACGCGTGGGAGTTGACCTGGGTGAACGACACGACCGAGCAAAAAGGTTTCAAGGACGATCGTATCTCTCATCGCCGTGCTACCCGACGAGAAGAGCCTTTTTACGGCTTCCAGGGGGCCACCAGTGCGCGTAATGTTATCGACTTTCGCTTATGCAACTGCACGTCTCGCACCGGTATTTACGAGGAGGTGTGTAAGTGCGATCACGCACCGTGACGTTGACGCCTTTATCGCGGTTTCGGTGATTGACTCGTAAAACGCCGGCTAGATAATGATAAATGAAATATGGCGACGAAAGGGGAGATTGCGAAAAAGTATATAGTTATATAGCGTTAATATATAGCGTTTTACCAATATCGCATATCGAGACATTGTCTCATCAAAATTATATCCTCAATGAGGTTATAAGTGCAAAAAAATTACAAAATATTCAATATTAAATTCCTCACGAACGATGCAGATAAATCGCATGAAACTTTAACTACGAATGTGCTTCATTGCGATAAGTGTTATGTAAAATTTTTGCATAATTTTAAATATTTTGGTTTAAGCGAATAAACTCCTTGAAAGACAATTTAAAGGCTCAAGGAACTTCGCGTTGACGATCCGCGATATCGACGATCTTCCCTTTAACGTCAATCTCGACTTTCAGCCGAATCAGCTCGGCACTAATCCCGCTTCGGTTACGTTTTACGCGCGAGGGAATATATATATGTACCAACCCTCAGCTAGGAACGAGAGATAATGCGTTTCTTGAACGGGCTGCTCTGAAATCTACGTCAAGTAATCTTACGACACCGATGGAAACGACAGTCGAAACCGCAATAAAATGTTTGATCTCTTTTTTCATGGTCGTCGTTCCCCTTTGCAACATTCGATATATTTTCGTAGCGCGACAAAATCCCGTCGATCCCACAGATGGTATAATTTTGATACCTTATATCGTGTTTCTTTTTTCGCACATATTCGCCGGCAATAAATCTTTTATTTTGCTGATTAAGCAGTAGATTTTTACTAGAGTGCGGGACACATCTCTTTTTTTAAACTGTCAACATAAAATATATATCAACAACAATAAAATAAATATCGAAT